AGTACACATATTTCTTGGCAATAAAAGACTTAAATCTTAAAAATGTAAAACAATTTTTTAATAAACCAACACTGAGCTTTATGACAGTTTGCTAAAAATATTATAATATATAATATACATAAAAAATGATTAACAAAAATATTTAAAATATAAACAATTTATTTATAAAAAAAAAATGCATTTGCTAATTTAAAATTATATAAAAAATGTATTAAAGTTAATGCTGTAAAATAAAGTTTTAACTAGTAATTAGCAATAATATTAAATAATATCTAATAAAATCTAATATCTATAAATAATTCATAAATAATTTTTACATCCACTACCTATATGAATATGAAAGAAAACATCAAAAACAATATTTTATTACTAATAGGAATAATAGGATAGTGAAACAAAAAATTTAAAAAGGAATATATTTTGCCTTCCTCTAGACAAATTTTTGCAAACGCATTGAGTTTAGGTAATTCTTAGAAGATAATTGCACTATTTGCACTTTACTCTTTTTTGTATAGTATTTAAAATGCTTCTTATAATTATTTTTTACAACTTTGCCATTAATTATGGGTTGATTTACATTAATATATAAATGTATACCATTTATTTTATACTTAATCTAAACTTAAAAATTAGTTAAATTCCGATTACATTAAAATTTGATTAAAATATTTTTCTATTAAATATATATTTTTTAAATTTTGGAAATTAAACAAAAATATACCTGGTGTATTATTAATCGAAGTAGAAGATGTAGCGTCTGAGGTATTACATTGCTGATCAACTTAAATAGTTAAACAATCATAATTTATTAAAATAAAGTAGGTATATTATACATTTTGGAAGCTTAGTAATTGTTTTTTTATACATACCAATACAACTCTTTTGTTTTTTATTAAAAAATCTGTCCAAGTTTCCTTTTTGTCTTTTATTGCACATTTGTGTTTTTTTTTTACAAGATTCAATATGTCGATTCCAGTTGGTATCATTTTGCTTAACACGTTCACGTTTACAATAATCACATAATACAGGTTTCATATTTTTAAAAAAAATTTATATTTTGTAAGAATTTAATAAATTAAAAGAAATATTGTATACACGTCTGCACAAGACCACACTACCACAAAATAATATTTAAAAAAAGCGAGTCAACATTGTCAAGTACAGAACAAATCAACAAAACGTTATGATTATCCATTAATCAAATACGCTATACGCTCTAAAACTAATAAGTAATAATATAAATTATAAACTGTAACTGTGTTAGTGTGTATATATTTAACCAATGCCGACTATACTATTTTTGTTATAGTAATGGTGAGACGGTGAGTGTCGCAGGCACAATCGATGTAACATATTGGGATTTCCATAGTTTTTATATAAATAGAAAAATATACGGAGCATATTACTAAACATGTATGATAAATTTTATAGTGCCGAGTTTGTATTCTTAATTCTTATTATAATTGTTATTGGATTAGATAAAACAGAACTAAAATAACTACGACAACACACGCATGTCGATACAGTGACTTGGTAGCATACTAGTATACTGCATATTATATTATATTATATTATACTAATTATAATATTTGTCATGATATTTATGTTGAGATCCTACAATTATACACCCACCTGGAACCCACCACCCACCCATTTCAGACATGAAGCAATTGCTTCAAATAATCCTGTATCCCGCCGCCACTGTCGGGGGGTGGCAGCCTCTCTCATATTTTCATGTTCACGGAATGTATATGGCGTTGATGTTTTGTAGACATTATGATTTTAGAAAATAATATTTCAAGACTTTAACACTCATTTCGTACAAAATAAAAGTGGCTATTCGATATAATACACAATGTTTATCAAAGTTATGATCGATCGCATTGTATCTATAACCCATTGACCTATACTTATAACTATTATTCCCGAAAGCCTCAGTTTGATCATAACATACAAATATATTTGAATACAGTCGCGACTTCGAGAGAAAATCAATTACTGCGTCATTATCATCTTTATTGTTTTGTTTTTTACAACTATGACCTCTCTTTTTTAATTTTGTATTCTAAAGTAGAACATATTTGATTGAAAACTTTGACGTATGAATATCGACTATGGAAATAATGTTGTGTCCAGGAAAATAAATATGGGTCGCTATATTATTATATATATGTACAGTAACTTAAAAATCAATTATAATAAAAATGAAAAACCATACATTCGGTAGTAATAATGGTAATCATTGACACACTTCTAAGTGTGAATTTTAAGTTTATGGTATTCATCAGAAAATCGTTCTCACGCATTTTTATTAGTAACATAAAAGACGTGTAAATGTAATTTGTATTGTTGTCTTTAAAACTTTTCAATTCAAATGTATTATAAGCAAACGTTCATTTAATCAAAAATATTAGTTTTCAGTTATCGTATTATATATAATTAAATTATTAAAAGTAGTTTGATTGAAATATATTTTTATCAAATTTAAAATAAATTATTTTTATTATGATTTGAGTATAATAATGTTATAGCTGTTAAAGAAAAATCTAATCAAATAAAAAGTTCTAGGAAAAAAGCATTGTAAAGCAAAGTATTATTATCATGCAATTAAAATGTAATATTAACACCACGCAGGTTTCAACCAATTAAAATATTGTGAAAAAAATTCAAAAAGAAATATTTTCAAAATATTACTTATATTTCTAATTTTCATATTCTTGTCTTATTTGGCAAGATTTTGCTTTTCAAAATTAATTATTAATACAAAATAACATGCATGGGGTTTACCTGTTTTCTACTCACATCGATTTGTATAATAAACGAGCATATATGTATAATGTATATAGAGTGATTCATCAAGCGCGCTCACCTCAACTTTTCTTTTAATAATTAATTAATTCATATTCTGATTTTTGGAATTTTTCATTATAATTATACACACCATATTTTCAGATTCTTGAGATTTTTTGTACAGCTTAAGGAATATTCTGTGGTGACTTTTGCTTTTCAAATGAGTACCACCCTTATTACTGTAAATTATTTAGTCGATCATTTCTGAAAATAATTTTGATGTAGATACCAATTTCAAAAATCAAAATTTAAGCTTGCAGTTTCTCTGTTAATAAAATGTTTGTACAAAGAATAATAATTTACTTCTTAAAAATTCTTTTACAAAAATATAAAAATATATTTATTATACTTCGACCATTTTTATAAATAATTGTATATACCTATTGATATAGATTAATATTAATTAGGTGCAGACATTTTTCAAATCACTTATATTATCTAAGCCCATTATCATTGTTCTATTATACTTAGAACACTAAGTTATAAATAACTCGAATACAACTCTTTCGAATTTTGTTTTTGATAGGTCAACATTTTTAGAAAAATTGTCTGCTTAACGATTTACAGTATAAAATGAGGGGAGGGTGTTGTCATTTGGAAGACTGACAATTGTACTTCCACAGGAGTACAGGATACCCAAGAATTTGAAATTGACGTCCTTAAGTTAAAATATTCGAAAAATCGAATTTTAAATAACCACTGCTGAACTATGGAAGAAGAAAAAAGGGGTGAGCATGTTCGGTGAATCTCTCCGAATAGTCAAAACTTTTTACCAAAAAAATAGTTATGCTCAATGAGAAATAAAATAGTTATAAATGTAAAGTTATTTATAATTAAGAGCTACTATACCATGTCATAATATACAGTTTAACCGTTGGTCCCGATTTCTCGTCGGTCGAATTTTTGGCGAAGGCTTCGAATTTCGCCATTTGACGCTTTTTAATAATAATAATAATAATAATAATAATAAACCATTAATGTACCTACTGCTGGCTAATCGAAAATGACATAATCCGACGAAGACAACTTTGCGATACAATTCTGCAGGCGCAGGTGGTCGAGTGTGTGAGGACGGGTAAAAGTGAATCTCGATAATTAAATTGGTCGTCGGCCAAAAAAATAACGACAATAATTGGTCTCACTGGAGTAGGCACCCACCACCCATCACCCACCATTGCTGTCGTCAGTCTTCGACGTGTTTTGCATACCGATCGTCAAATCTATTTGGCTGAATGATTTAAAACGCACATAATCTAATATAATAATAATATTATAATAGCGCAATTATTACCACTGTAATGCGACGGCAATGGAATATTATAATATTACTGTGACATTGGCGAATTCGTCGAGTGTTTGCAGTGTGTATTATTGTAATTTATTATTATTATTGTCCAACGAGCTCGCGATCCATATAAATAGCACAGTCATTGCACCTGTAGGGCATCAGTCTTCAGCCGTCCAGTCGACCTGTCATATCTTATACTTTTATCATCGACAGCCATAAACTCAAAACCAAAATGAGCATCAAAATGGTAATTATTATTTATTTATTTATTACAAATCTATAATTTTACATTAGGTATCACTGCATAGGCGGGCGCAGACTTTGCAATTGATAAAACTTGCTCCCCAAAAACATAAATGTCCCTTAATGAATTCTCAACCCTAAAAATGTACTTTATCGTAACCATATAATTATTGTTATTACATCTATTTTTAATAATAATAGTTATAGCAACCTTTGTACATAAAATAGTTGCAAACTCATAACAAAAGCATTAGCTTTTTATTTTACTTCTTATTAGATTAGGTTGAAAATATTGATTCTGACACAACATTTTTAGTAGGCTAAGACGTCACACTTTTTTTTTAAGTCGTTGTATCCAATAACCACACACTTTATAATTTCTTAAAAATGTATATATTTTTTAATGTAAAATTATTATTTATTATATATGTATTTACTAATTACAGTTCATTCCTAAAAGATAATCTCAAAAAAAAAGTTTAATTATTATAATAATATACCCTCCACCGCCCACTATACTTGAGTACACCCAACATAGTATGAACGAATTTAATATTTTTAATATCTTACAATTATTTTTTACTAGTCACTGTTCGCCGTCGTTGCCTGCTGCCTGGTCGCCATTTCCGTCGCTGCCCCGTCCGGCTTGGCTCCCGTGCCACTTGTTGCCGCCGCACCGGTTGTGGCCGCTCCCGTCCAACCTGTGGTCACTGCATACAGTTCGCAATACGTGGCCAGAAACTACAACGGCATCGTAGTCGCACCCGCCGTCGTCCCGTCCGCGGCCGTTGTGGGCTACCCAGCACCCGCACCCATCTACGCACCCTCCGCATACGCCTACCCGAGTCCACTGGTCCAAGACTACTTGTTCTAAACTTCCGGCGCCGATCGAGAGTTCATCGCATAGTAAACAGCAGTGACATTTCAGTGCGTTGAAGTCTCTCCGTCGCACATTCTTCGTTTCGCAATCATCGTCTATGCCTACGTCTATCTATACCTATTTTACTTTATCTATTATAACAACAATATTTGTGTGATTATCAATTATATGCTGTCATGTTTATTTTGACGACTCCTACAGTACGATTTTCAAAGTATAAATAAACCGAAAACCGTTTACTCTTCACAAACGATATGAGTTAACAGAATTATTATTATTGTTTTTTTCCCTCTGCTTCGTATGTCTTTAATTTAGTTTGATTTTGAATTGGCGCTCTCAAAGTGCTTTTATAAAAATTCTGGTTAAGAATATTCATCAATCATATTGTTATACGAGTTGTGAAAATTGCAGTCTGGTGCAGGAGAGTCGTTTGATGAATTTAAAGAAATTAAAAAACTTGATTCACGCAGCTCACTTTAAACGCCACCAATGATGTAATTGATTAAATAAAATAAAATCGTATGTACCAACACAACTCGTGTATAATATATCATTAAATTATTTTTGATGTTTATCGCCATTCGTCGATAATGTGCAAATAATAATAATACAAATCAGAATATGACCATTTTAAAATAGGGTAATATTATAACCAGACAAACAAGCTAAATTAGCTACCTGCTCAAATAACGCACAATACATTAACATCTCTCAGTACTTAGACGTTAAAAAACAGATTAAAGAAAACACAACCTGCCTTTGGCAAGATATATGGAACACTCAAACAAAAAAATTAAACCAAATTAAACAAACAGTAAAAAGATGGAAAATAAATCCTGACATAAGTATCACAAATGAAAAAAAAAACTAAATCGAGCCAGAATTGATCACACAAAAATGACGCACGGATACTTGATGAAAAAAGACGACCAACCAATATGCCAAGTGTGTGGCACCTCACTATCTATCAAACACATATTCGAAGAGTGTAGAAAATACCAAAAAAACAGAGGAGAATTAAACATAAGCCACGACATTGGAAAAAGTCTAGGACCAAATCCAGAAAACCAAACCAAAACAATACATTTCTTCAAAAAATCCCAAATATTAAAATTATTATAAGTTAACAACAACAATATTGCCACGTACCCATTTATAAGACATTAATTGTTTATAAAACTATGTATTTATTTGTATATAATTAATCAATTTTTTTTAATTTGTTTTTTTTTTCATTGTATATAAATTAATTTAATGCTAATGACCCTAGTAGTCGAAGCGGAAATTCGTAGATTTCATGACCAATAATAATAAAAAAAAAATACTATAACCTACATTTCATCTATATAGCTATTTACCTGTCATGGTGGTTAGGATTTTTGTGATAAATGGTAACAACAATAATTGTTAAGATCTTATAACAAGTGTAACATTCTCATAATCTTCTTATTACAGGTAATATCATATTAAAATGAATATGTGTTAAATTCTTATGAAAATAATACGTCTTGTATTGTGTACAACAATTTATTCTAAAAACACAAACATTAATTTATACGGAGAAAATGACTATAAAACATTCCATTCTATTGTGAGTTGTGATGTATTGTGTTATGTGTTTTATAGGTATACAGTTGAAAAAGTACTAAACTCAGACAGTTAGACTCGAGTCTCGAAGTAATTGAGAAAAAATATAGAAATTTATTATAAAGACCACTTGGCATACAGTAAACCAACATTTTGTTGCGGAGAAAAGCCGAAGAAATAAAATATTTTTTTGGCAATGGATAACAGAATATAATATTTATTTTAAAATCTGCCCTTAGATGGCATATTCTTTAACTCCATGATGACTTCACATGGGAAAAAAATGAATAATTAACACAAAATACTGCTTCATATCAGAGTACCTCAGGTCAGATATCATTATACTATTAAAGCTCTTATTAAATTTCCGAACGTACTTCAAACTACTGCTCTCTAAACTTTCTTTGAAAAATCTTTGAAATTGTCACCGAAAACGGTCAAGTAGTTTTTGAGTCTATGCATACTTAACAAGAGTATACAATAATGGTTTTATAAACAAATTGTCATATATTTTGTTTTAAGATATAACTTGTTTATTCGGGGCCATAAACTCAACGATACTAGGTGTACATAAAATAAATAATTATTTCTACCAACGTCTATTGTAATAATTATTATTTATTGTAACCTAATTAATAAACCATTTATAAACAAAAAAAAATCGATTTCCATAGTGGACCTTAAAAGTTAAAACCCACGTGAGAACCTTTCTAAAATGCGAATTTCGGAAAATCCTTTCTTATTTCACCCCCATATGGTGTTACAAAGTCTTCGGCTATCATAGTTTAGTCAGTTGCAGTCAAGACACGTTCGATTAAGTAAATACAGGCAGATGATGCCGTAAAAGTGGAACCAAATATAAATATGTTTAAGATTTATATTATTATCATTATTGTTGTAACAGTTATTATATTTATATTCAAATTAGCTAGTAAGTCATAAACACAATGCCGTACACATTCCGGAAGTGCAGTCACCTGCAGTATCCGTAGCAACTAAAATTCGGAATATCGGTGCTTTTAAGTTATAATAATAAATTATGCAATACAATATTGACGTCATCATAATAGTATATTGCTCACCTACCAAAGAGTTAACGGGAATAACATTGTACATTATGATGCTATTTTGACGACGAATAAAATGTTTTCGATTCTGAGCATAGCTATAAATATAGTTTTAGGAGTTGCGATTATGTGTATTTTTATATAATATTGTATTTCAGAACACATTTATTAGTTAAAAAATATTCTCCGATCTCGTCGATTCCTAGGGCAGTTTCTGGTAGGAAATTAGTTTGAGAGGGTCAAGAGTAAAAACAAATACCAGTACGTTTCTTAATAATCGGGAAATACAAAAAAATAAATTACGAAATATACAGGAAAGCATATTTACACAAATTGTTGACAAATTCAAACACGTTATATAAAATATTCAGGCATAATAGCATTCTATTGATAAAATATAAATTATAAAATATTTCGATACTATTGTGATATTCATATACATTTAAAATTTAATAGAAAATCGAGGTCGGAGGATAACCGACCTCGTATACTACTTTTTGATATCGATACTAACCTGACGATTTATAAAACCGTATGAGCAGTCGTCGTTACACCTAAACATAATAATATTATAATAAAATAACCAAACAAGCCACGTAACAACACGTGTCAGTTTGGAAAAACACAAGTTTATACTACCACCGAATAACCGATCGTCAGTCGGGCACGTGTTTGATTTATTGAGCGTCGTCGTCATTGTCTTAATGCAATTAAAAATGCTAACGTAACTTTTAATAAATCCACCGGATACCGCGTAAAAACTAATTAAAATCAATGTCAGTCTAGAAATTGTATGGGCATCGATTGGAGGAATAGCAGACGGGAGAGCACGTGAAATGTCATCACTCGGATCTTTGGCCAGCGATCGCGATATCATAACTGATTAATTAATTATGCTTTGTTATGTGATACAGGCGACTACAGGCCAACGAATGCATAATGTTATTTTGTTTAATATGTAATGCAATAGTTATAAATAATAATAATAATAATAATAGTAATAGTAATAATTGTTCGCAAACGTATGATATGCAATCACAACTGCATGCATAGTCCATCTATATACATCAAGAATAAACCAGTCTTTTTCGTAGACTATAGACACCGAAACGGTGGAGTGTTGACCGTGATTTTGAAGGGCAGTTCCCCAATAGTTTTAAAGGGATGGGTGGGTGAGTGTTGGATTTAGTGAAAATTTGTAGTACAAGACTAACTTCATCTGAATAAGATATTTAATGAGAATAATAACTCCAATAATAAGTATTATATTATAAGTAGTCAAGGGGTGACAGGTCATTCGAAAAATAAATTGCCCCATCAAATATTTCACTTCTTCATGCCACTGCACTGAAATGTAAAATACTCGGGTGTAGGGTGTATGTTTCACTTTGAAATATTTCAAAATTGAAACTTTCATCATTCTTGAAATATTTTAATGAAATATTGAAAAATATATTTTTTAATTTTGTGTTTTTGGTATGTTTCATAAAGTCATCACTGTCTAGACTGGTCTTATACCTGATTACTGATTAGTGGTATTCAATATTTAATTTCCGAATTTCCAATCACGATGTAGAGGCTAAAAAAAAAATATATATATATGTATAATATAGATAGTCATTTAGTAATTTATAAAATGCACGATGTAAACGATATTTGTATAAAATTTCCCACTAAATATTTAACTGTGTTTAGAGGTGCTTACTTTACTTCCCACTATAGATTAAAAATAAAATTTGATTTTTTTGTTTTTCATTTTAATTAAATATTTCAACAAAAATAATTTCATGAAATGTTAGAACCCTACTCTGCAGGTGTTATTTTTTATACGTTACTTAAACTTTCAAGTTTCAAAGTACATCGTATGAGAGATATTATAAAAATGAATTCCTCGATCAACTTACGTTTTTTAAAAAGAAGCTGTCACCAGTTTTTTTTTATCAATGCCAATTGATTTTTATATTATAAGATTTCTCCTTGAATATTCTTTAATTATTTGACACAGTAGCTGTAGGTGTTCTATAACACTTAAATATTTATAGCTCCTAGACTTTTCTAAGATACTTATCCTGAAAATGTCAAGTTGAAAGGATAGGATAACCCATCAGGACTAGGCACGGGGTTTTAAAATATTTTTTTTATTATTATTGACACATTTAAATATTTAGACGGAACGCGCAAAATGTAAAAAAAAACGTATTAAAGTCAATAGCAGTTACTCGAATCGATAGATTCGATGGACAACAGACGAGTGCATGTGAAATGCCATCACTCGATCGTTGGCCAGCCAACGCAATTCGCAATAACAACTGATTTATTATGCTTTATATGATACAGAGGTAACTAGGAGAACGTGTGCATAATTTAATATAATAAAATAGTAAGTATTTTTGCAAACATCGTATTACGTATACCTACGTAACTGTATGAATAATTATGACTCCTAAATATATCGTAAAGAATAGTTTCGTTTTCAATATACCGAATAGAGACGGCGATGTAACATAGTACTTAGGTGATCATTTGTACACAAAACTTTGAAACTTATCTTTTAAAGTTTCTTAGCACGCGTGCATGCTATTGGAACAATAATTAAGGACTAAAATAATCAATACAAAATCACTACTGAGAAGCATTTGAATTTCAACTTACGAGGTCGTGCTTCGTGTAGTCATCTAATTATTTGTAAATGGAGATTTTTTATCGTACTAAAGATTATTATAATCTTCATAAAATAATAAAATATTACTAATATTATTGTTAGGTATAAAAAAAGTCTGCACACCTCCTTTAAACGAATGATTGTGTCCATATGCGGCACTTGGGTATAAATTCAACACAGTTCACTCACTTATAACATGGTAATTGATTTAAAACTTACAACACTCTTAACTAACGACAAACAAATTGTATTCAATGGATATTCTAAAATATTCTTTAAAACAACGTTACAGTGGCAATTGTTGTGTCCGTCTTACAAGTGCTTATCATACTAAATTTGAGCTCATTTGATCGCGTTTAGCTCAGTTTGAAAATCAGATTGAATCGACCTGTTATGGAACTTGATGGTAAAAATATTATCTGTGTTTCGACGTGAGTTGTTTACGATACTTCAGTTTCTAAGTGAGTTGTGAGCATTTTCAACTTACTCTATGTTATAAACTCAAAACTTGACAAAAAATTGAACTATCGTAAAAAAATCCTCGAAAAACATAGATAATATTATTGTTTAGTAAATAATACAATATAATATATTTAACTGCTTTTTATTATTAATTTTGCTATTTTGTTTTAAGAGGACACACTCAACTGATCACGTTTAGCCAAATGGGTTTTTAAAATTAGAGGGAATCCAAATATTATGATAAGAACATTATTAGCTGTGTTAGCATGTGGGTGTTTTTACGATAGTTAATAATTTTAGCAAGTTTTGTGTGTATAATAAAGCGTTAAATAAAAATGTTCACAACTTACTTAAAATCGGAATTGTCGCCATAAAAAAATCACATACAAACACATATATTGTTCTTACCATCAAATTTTCATAATAGGTCGATTCACTCAAATTTTTAAACTGAGGTAAACGCCATCAGCTGAAGGCAAATTTGCTATGATACGCACTTGTAAGACGGAGACAACTAATGTCATTATGTAGCGTTTTCTTAATATAAACGAGTAAAATTATATCTATGGATGTCAAATCGAGTGTTAATAGTTGTTATGGCATTACAATATTTGTATTACGTACCGTTTCTGACATGCAAATTAAATCATAACAACCAGCTGCTAAGTAATTAATAAAAACATAAAATTACGAAAAAAAAATAAAATCATTGTTATTGGTTATACATTTGTAAAAACTTAAGACTTACAAAAAAATTTGAATTGAATTTGTGTCAGTTAATTATTTAAGAGCTAACAGACGACATCTTATAAATGCTTCTGTATTCTGTAAAATAACTTATTTAAATATTTAAAAAATCAATCTTGTATTTATTTATTTAAACTTTAAAGCGTTGTTACCGTCCTTGATCCGTCGTAACTTTTAAGATTATGTCTGAGCACTATTTGTTTTCTTTCCCCGTAGGTCCACCTACAACATCATAGACAAGACTCAGCTCAGCTATAAAAAATAATTGTTTAATAGTTTTTGAGAATTCTTAGAGTACGTTTCATCTATTATAATAAATATTTACTATAGAGAATATTATTTTTGATTATTTGAAAATCTTATTTTTTTATTACATAATTTGACTTAATTTCCTACTAGAAAAAAATGATTTTTTTCAAATTTAAAATGGATTTAAAATAATTTTGAGACAGTATTTAGACAAAAATTATAAAGTAGCATACATTAATAGATTTTTCATGGCATCGTATGTCAAATTAATGTAAAAGCATATTCCACACCCTCAAATATGGAATTATTTATAATATTATAGGTGATTATTCTCTATAATAACTTAAGAGCCATAAGAGCGGATTTAACGTCTGAAGTTTATGTCACATAAGGGTCTACGAGAGAAAACAAATTTAATGCTGTGATGACATCATCTTTAAATATTATGTTTTTAATGATGACAATTATTTTAATTTTCATTATCATATAGTATGACATAATATGTTGAATATTGTTTCATTTAAAACGCATCTATATTATGACAAAAATTCAAATCTAAAATTGTATAACATCATTGATAACTAATGTATTTACAATTAAAAAAATAATTCTTTATTTTATTTTTGTCTGTTTTCAGCGAAACAAAATGTTGTAGGTAAATATTAACTATTGTTGACGATACAATAATATAACAATTCACATTTTTTTTTTTTAAACAAGTTTTTCAACATTGGATCATATGTATATAATTATATTGTGTTAATTTTTAAATTGAGTCTTAATACTAATATAATGTATTATATAGGCAGGTAAAAATCATTTTAATACAAAGAGTCCGACATTATTGTATTAAAGGCTACTATGATAACAACAATATACTTTGACTGCGTTTGAATGGATTTCATATCCCCCTCCTCAAAAAAACACCAAAATGCCATCACTGAAATCAAATACATATTATTTTGATTCTTTTCAGTTTTTGTTTTCATTAAATATATTAAAGTTCTCAAATGTCAAAGAACCCAAAAGACAAACAACGTACGGTCTGTTCGTGTACAATACTAACCTATGTATATGTATTTTCCATTCCAATTGAAAGCCGTTGTACGAAGGTGAACAATAATGTTACACTGCAATAACATAAATAATTGATAAATCGTCGTGTATAGGTATATGTCACAGACCCAGTGCACAGCATTATTAAGAAATACGCGCATCATCGAGTCCAAAAAAAAAAAAAATCGGTCACGTGCGCCGATGGTCACAATAAATTATTATTATTATTATTATTATTATTATGCCAACGACAATATTCTTATAAATACTGTCGTCGGGAACGCCACTACACCAGTTATCAGTTATTTGTCCAACAGCACTCTACTCGTCATTCGCCTATATATTACCAACCACTCTCGACAGAAAAATGAACACCAACACCATGGTAAGTCCACAAAACCTAATATTATCCTCATATCTTTATACGTCCGTTCGCGATTGGTTTTAATTGAATATTATAACGGCAAGACACCTCAATTTCCCTGCAATATATTATTATTATATATTGTATGTACCTATCTATACAACCAATTCTTGCACTCAGCGATAAGGTATCGACAAATCATACATTATATTCTTTACGACTTATATTGTGCACTGTGTGGGTGGTTTACCAAATATGCTCACGCCCATTTTAAAAATTACAAAAATTAGAATTTAAATTGAATCAATATTAAAGCATGCTCAAGGGTCATATAATTTTCGAGTACTCTTATTTTTATGCCATTTGAGGGGAGAGTTGTGACCATATCGGCATCTTTTTTGTCAAAACCTTTTGTTTTTCTTTTAAATTGTTGAGCAAGTGAATTTTATTAAATTGTTTATGTATGATATAAGTCGAAATAAGGACGAATAGTTTGTGAGTTATTCAACATTGGGTACCAAAAATAATAGGGTTGGAGAAAATACGTGGGTTAAGATGATTTGAACATTTTAGTGATAAAAACGTAATAACCAATTAACGTTTTATAATTTCTGAAAATTATCTAGATCTAATAAGTACCAGATTTAATCACATCTATATAATAATTTTGTTCAATTCTTTTTAAGGACTATTATTATATGTACATTTAATAACTTGAAAACTACTCTTTCGAATTTTTATTTGGATAGGTACATGAAAATGTACAAAAAGTCATTTACTTAACAATTTGTAGTAAAAATGATCGGTTCTCGTTTGAAAAAAAATTGTTTGTATCAACACACAATATAAGAATATTCCTTAAATGACAAAAAATCCAAGTATTGTAAAATATGGTCCTTGAGAGTAGGTACTCAAAGAAAGCTCCAAAATTCAGAATTTCAACAAATTCACTATACCTAAAGAGTAAAAAGCAAAGAGGGTGTGAATATTGAATAGACCGAATCACTCTGTTTAAACAAAGTTAATTTTTATACAAGTATTTCAATAACATCATAAGTTAAATATATGTTTTTTTAAATTTTAGTTAATTTCGTAATATTATTTTTATTTGTATTGTGGTTAAAATAATAATGATTTAGAGTATTTTATAATTCTATGTATTGTCATAGAACAATAATATGGTATTGTATAATAGAACGGTTCTTATAACAGTATAATTAACACTTTAAGAGGAACGAAGACAATAATAGATAAATAAACTTTAAATGCCTAGTATAATAAAAATCTATATTCGCTAAATTTCAACCTTTATTTATTTATTATTCCTAACAGGAATGTTAAATTTGGTATTGAGTGCTGTGATGGTTTCAGACTCTGAAATAAAAAACTAGGTCTTCGTAAAAAAATCAAATTGTCGTTTAGTTGTCTCGACAAAAAATGAGTGTAGAGATAGGAGAGAATAATAAAATAAATTGTTAAAATAAATCGAATTTCATAGTTTTTGTATACAGAATGTAGAAAAAAATTAATAATTTCTCCAAACTTTTGACTCTATAAATTATAAACTTACCCATACCTTAACACATAGTAAAAATATATAACTAAATACATACTAATTTTGTCCTTTTCTTTAGACTCTTGTTGCGCTGGTCGCCTGCTGCCTGGTCTCCATGTCCGTCGCCGCCCCGTCTGGTTTGGTTCCTGTACCCATAGCAGCAGCACCTGTTGTGGCCACCCCCGTCCACCCCCCAGTGGTCACCGCTTACAGTTCACAGTACGTGGCTAGAAATTACAACGGAATCGCCGTGGCGCCGGCCGTCGTCCCTTCCGCGGCCATCGTCGCCTACCCTGCCGCAGCTCCCGCACCCGTCTACGCACCCGCTGGACTCGCCTACCCAGGACCCCTGGTTCAAGACTATCTTTTCTAATGACGACGACGACGACGACGACGACAACGACGACGATGACCCTCACCCTTATCAAATGAATTGTAAATAATATTGCATAAAATATACGATGTCCGCAAATATTGTCTATACTGCTGTAATTTTATCGATTACAACAATAATCCGAATAGGTTTTCGGCAATCAACTTTTGATTTGCGTGGCGACGTAGTAAATGTTTTCAAATACCCGTTCACGCGAATCCAATAAATCGTATTAATCATACCTAATGGTAATCCGTTTTCGTAACGTAACAATGAATACAACCAAACAATTAGTTGTTCAATTGTTGCTTACCCATATATAGTACAAGTACATAGAGTCCTATAGTGTACAATGTACTACCACAAAATGTCCACGTGCACGGAAATGGAATGGGATCATGATATGGTAACTTCAGATCGACTGTGTTTGAATTTGTCTATACTTAATCATTATGTGGTGTAGAGTGTAGACGATGATTAATAACTAATAATGTAAATTGGTGTACAATGTTCGTCCAAAAAAAAAAAAACAACAGTTTGTTGGTGTATAATGATATTCTGTTCTGACATAATCAGTTAAATCACATTATTTATTTATTTTTTTTTTTTTAATCAAATATTAACAACAACAAAATTATGCTTGTTGCAATATAGTACTCGCAGCAGATGAAGTGAAACTTCTTTGCAGTATGTATATGAAACAAAAGTTTCATTACTGTCGAATATTAATAGTTTCGAATGGAAAAATTAAAAAATTAAATTTTCAATTGAAATTAATTTTTTATTATTATTATTATTATAAGAATACAAGACAAATTTTGATAAATTACCATAGAAACCTAAGGGTCCAAACAGACGGTCGAATTTTCTTCTGGTTCATGCATATACGGAGTTAGACAGAGGTAAACAGATAGTGACGTTTTTCGCAGGCCGGTCAGTTAAGAATATTTACGGCATCACGAGGAACACCTCGGCGACCGGTGGGTAAAATCCGATCGTCTGATCGTTATAGTGTCGAGTAAGTCACGCTCGTGACGCTTTTTGCCTAAAGGAGTTATTCACTTCAAAAATATTACTTACAGACGCTGCACTGTATTGGTAATACGTTATTCGGAATCAAAGCGGTAATCTGGGGGAGGGGAGGTTGCGCCCCTCGCATTTTACAGTGGTGGCAAAGATATCGTTTCGACCGTCCCCCTGGTATATAAACTCTAATTCATAGCATATTATTACGATATTTACAACACATTTTTTTTCAAGGTATAGTGCTTGAATGTTATTCGTCTGCAATGTGAGTTCTATGTAGTAACTAGCCCGTCATTCAAATATTTTATTAAAGGTGGGGCAATTAGTTTGAGTTAGCTTAATTAGTCAATGTTCTACGCAACGTTGACTTTTGAATTCATCAATTCAATATAGTTAAGTATCAAATAATATATTATGTTTAAAAGCTGAAACTAAAAGTTTAAAGTTAAATAAAATGTTAAGTATATTTATATGATGAGTATACGCTGTTGGTAATGCAAACTAAAGACCTAATTGAACCATACACAACAGAACATTTTAGTTGTGTGAGCAAATTGTATCAAATAGTTGCAATGATAGTAAATATCGATTAATAAAGCTATGTTTCCTCAATGGCATTTTTCAACAACAATAAATTATTGGCTTCCGAATAAATTTGACCAATGCTTGGCATAAAAACAATCAACACTTATTATCATAACTATATAATAAAATAATTAGGTATAATGTAATCCAGTTCATTTAACACTACCTATATATAAAAACTATAAGTTGTTACTTAGGTTATAAGTTCTGATTATAAAGAAAATAATATATTACTTAAATGTATTGTTGGATTGATGTTTTTAGACAAGTGAGATATATTTATGATTGGTTGACTTCCCACCCGAAATTCGTGTGGCGTTAACGACAAACTTAATTAAAATTTACGGTAAATAATACATCATTATATAAATTAAATAAAAATAACTTTCAGGTGATTTCTAGAAAATACGAAACATTTCTTATTGAGACAAATAATTGAAAAAAAAATTTTAAAAATGGCAGGTAAGGTATGTTATGATGGAAACAAAAATCGAACCGTTTTTAGTTTGGCGGAAACGAATTGGATCCTTGTAATTACCTATCAAAGAGGTCGTTACACGGAACTCGCGGAAGCCATATTATGGGGTATAGATTAATAATGCTTATTATATTTTTCTGTATTTATATTTAATATCTCTACGCTTTTAATAATAATTTCTGTTTCATTGAATTGTTCTGCTTAAACTATATGTCTATATAGGATCATATTAAAAGATTTTCAATAACAAAATCGAATGAATCTTAACAGAATATCCTTTACAATACTGTATATTAAGCAACGTCGATGGATTAATCCAAAGTAAAAAAACTAACTACAATAACTACTTAATGACGGACAAATACTAATTATTTTCTCAAAAAGCACTCTAACCCCCCCCCCCCCCAAATGAACAAAATAAAAATAAATCATGATCATGCTGTTGTTGAACTGTTTCTCAATTATTACTCGCATTGATCCATTTGTACCATTTTTCTTTCTATATAGTTATCACATTTACTGTATGTTGGTACACAGCAAATATTATTGATAAAGGGTTTATTTAGTAAAAAATGACAAAACAAAAGGGAAAAAACAGGTAGATAACCTCTCAATTGTAGGCTTATAGCTAAAGTAATAGTGTCGAGTGTAATTTAATAAGCCACTGTAATGTATGTGTTACATTTTACAGTGATAAATCATTTAATATGAATAATGATTTGAAGGCGGACGGTCTGTCAGCCTATACTAATATACAAGCATATTTTATGACATATTTTTATTGATATTTTGGTAATTAATTTTACTGGGTATTACTAGCATAATTATTTACTGTATAAGTAAAAATTGTATTTACTATATTTTTATAATTTAACTTTTATCATATATCAAATATATTTGTGTTATTAACATTTGAGTCAATACCGACTTACCGAATAACGGTGTCAGTGGGTTCGTATCATGAATATTCAAAAGCTTAAAATAAATCTTAAATTTTTGAAATTATCATTGTGTTTTTAATATACGTAAGAGTTTTAAATCTTCACAAGACAACATAACTACAAAATTGTTATTTTTCATTAGGTTAGATCTAATTTCATCCAAGTATTAAATTAAAACGCCCAAAAAAAATTGTGTTTTACACATTTTTTAGATTTTTTTGGCTTCAGTATGAACTACTTATGAGGAACCTTGTTTTAAATCTTCTAATAATACCAATCGAACATTTTAACAACAACATTTTTTCAACATTTGAACTTCAAACATTTAAAAAAAACGATGTGGATTACTTCACTCAGAATCTAACATCCAAACACGTTTTGTTTTTTTTATTAAATCTTCTTAGTATTAACTATTATAAAGTGTATGATAGTGAGGAGTAATAAAATCGGAAAATTAACTGTAGTTTATATATATATGTCTTACAATAGAATACAAATAAATACGGTGATATTAAGACAGTAAAAAGTATATATAAAAAAAAAACAAAAACAAAGTATGTACGAAAAAAATAATAACAACATTAAATTACAAAATCAGCTTTCAACCCCAACACTTTAAATTTCAAGTAGATTAAAGATGTTTAATTGAAAAGCTCAAAAAACATTTGTAACTTCACCTGACAGTTATCATATTTTACTAATTATACTCGGTTACTCGTATATTTATATATTATCATCATGATCCTATACCAGTAGCCTGGTGAGCTAATTTTTGAGGTGGGGCAAATAAGGAAAATCGACCCCTCATCCGGCCTGCGCCACAAAATTATTATTCAACCTGCATTACTGACTATTATTTATTAATTGTTGCTTCATTAAATATTTTTACTCAATTTTTTAATGACACCCAGTTCCTACCCACCCGCTCACCCACCTCATAAGCATAAAGGGCTTCAGCCTCTGAATATCTCCCTCACTGTGTCACGATCCTCTACAGACGTGCTGACACTATAATAGAACAAAATCTGCCCAGCAAAAGAGTGGTACATCTTAAATAGATTCAGAACTGGACATGGACGATGTAACTATACAAATAAAGGCAATGCCGGGTTAAGGGGGGGGGGAAGAGGGCCGCTGCCCCGGTTTGCAATTTTTCTACGGCGTAAACAAAATTTTTTTAAATTATTCAATGTACTGCCGAAAAATATGGATAACAAATTTCAAATAAAAATAGTTCCTAATATTTTAAATTAAACCAACTACCAAAGTGTTATTACATTCAGGGTATTATTGATAAAACCATAATGAGCTCTCGGACTGTCACATTTCTGCTTTCGTTCATTTTATTTTCAAGTAAAAATCTTATGTATTATACAGCAGTACACAAACTGATCCATAAACGAGTTTGTTGTGCTTCTTTTATGGCTCTATGGGTGTATTATAATTTATAATGTATAACCATCAGAAGTAATTCATTTGTACGCTAACAAGCAATTGTTTTTAATATACTATCATTTCTCGAGTCTCGTGATCATAGTTTCGTCAAGTTCAATCGACTGGCAAACAAACGGGTTTAATATTTCCTTCCGGTTTTTTTTCAATCAATATGAGTGGAAAGTGCATAAAGTTAAATGATGTTGAGTTTCGTAAAAATGCCGAGAGAAAAAATAGAAAAAACAAACTAATTATTTATCAGACACTTAAAATTCAAAATTTCTTCAAAAAGGTAGATTATTATTAAGAGGACGCTATGCAACCATTTATTGTATCTTACAAGTGTGTAACATATCAAATTTACGCTTAGCAGATCACTTTTAGGTCCGTTAGCTTAAAAATTAAAGTGAATTGACTTATTATGAAAATTATGATAAGAAAATTGTCTGTGTTTGTATGTTGGTTTTTCAAGTTTTAATTCAGATTTTAGGAGAGTTGTGCGAATTTTTTATTTACGCTTTATTATATCCTCAAAAGTTGCTAAAAAATGAACTATCGTAAAAAAACCCACGTACGGACAAGGATTCTTACAATCGACTTTTGTATAAATTTGATTCACATTAATTTTTAAACTAACTGAGCTA